GAACAAGAGGGGAGGGAGTTTTCTTACAGAATTTGCAGCACCAGGTTGTCTTGGCATTGTTTGGCATTCTCTTTAAACCAACACAGTTGAGGTGGAAAAATTTCCCATTTGTGCAATCACTGTTATGACACTCTAACAACTTGTCAGAAGGTACTGCCTTTGATTTACATGTACAGATCGCAGTTAGGTGGAGAGCAGCTTGACAGGCTGGAGGTTGTTTTGGTTGCTGCTTTCTCTTTCGCTTGAACTGGGGCAACCGACAACAGTGTGGACAGTACCATAACTTTGGTATTCCGGCTGCACAAAGAGACAAACAGGAGGTGTGAAATTGTGCATAGGGACATTCCACATTACTGCAGGTGATCACATCATTGTATGCTGGTGAACGACAAAAGCAGATTGCATCCACAATAGGCTTGACATCCGGAGCATGACACCTCCTTGTATACCAACATCTTAGTATCTCAGGGAGGATGCATAGCCTCCAAAAGGTATCTGGCCTAGGAAGGACGGTGTGGTGGTGCTGCTTATCAGGGAGAATCCTCTTTGTTACTATTGCTCCCCTATTATTCACATTGTCAATGGCACAAACAACAAAATCAGTGTTTCCTATCTTTGAGAGTAAACAGTTGTTGTTGTACCTGATAGTAATAGTTGTGGCTTCTGATGAGCTTGAAACTGCTATCTACCTTTTCCAAGCAAGAGGACTTCTGAAGGGCATACTTATCATAATCACAGTCTCGGATAGACATTGGACATTTGACCTCTCCGCAGCCCAATCTACAACAATCACATGAACTCAAAAAGTCCGTGAGGCATGGAGGAAGGGATGCTGTGAGTTAATAAAAAGTCCACACTTCTCAACCTTAAAATTAACATGCTTGGTTGACATCATTACAACATATGCTTTAATTGCAATATCTTCATACTTGCAACCATGCTTGATTGCCTTTGTATTTACCTTGAACAAATATGGGTAACAAATAGTTCTTATTGTTGACTGCGGAGGCTTTGCTAAGTTGCACTTTGAGGCAGCACCACTCATAGATATCACAATTCTGCCTGCCCGATGTCGATAAAAACTCGAGCATTTCGCCTGAGAACGCGTGTCTTTTTCTACTAGCGCATTGTTCTCCACAGTTAATTCAAGTTTCACGGCTAAGCATTTCCTCAGCAAGTCAGGATAGTTTAGATCGAGGTTTTGAGTCTCATATAAGTCTGTAATCACAGGAACAGCTCTACTTCCTACCACAAACTGGCCTCCGTAATCATCCTGGAAACTCAGTGCTACAGGCTTAATGCTACACTGATTTAGCTTCACATAGAACGCAGACAGTTCCTCTGTTGTGGGGCGACATTTTTCAACTTTATCATCCTTAACAAATAGAGCCAATCGGTCACCAATTAAGTCCGCTTTGCAGTCTGGGGTTAAGGTATCTATATTCCCATCTAGATTTTCCTTGAGCTTCCTGGCTGAGCTGAAATCGATGTCTTACACTGGCGCGTAATTTACTTCACTGACATAAGTAGGCAAAAGCCATGTGCATTTTACGCTGGTACATGCCAGCTTTCCATGAATTCGAGTCCATGCCTCAATATAAAACATCACGCTTGCGACATGAGTGCATGTTTCTCCTAGGCCAGCCTTACATCCAAGGCAATGTGCGGAGAGGATCGTCCCATCTGTCTCGGTTATGATCCAGATATCAACAGGAGGTTCGTTCATAGCCTGTGAATGTTGGCCAGTGGTTATGC